CCCCCCTCCCCTCTAGAACCCTCAGTTTGTTTTTCAGAGTCCATTGTCTCTCATGGTTCGTCTACCCCTCCGATTGGGGCGGCTCCTTGACCTCACAAGTGTCGCATCCTAGAGCTTCAGCCAGGCTGGCAGGGGCCAGGCTTGTGCCTGCCCAGACTCTGCAGCTCCCTCCCTATGCATCCTCAGGGGCAGCACTGGGTCTTGAGTGCTTGTCCTCACTGATAAACAAGGATGCCACCCAACACTGTTCCCACGGGCTAGGGCTCCCCTGCCCATCTTGCTCAGCCCCTCTGTGGAAGCTGTGCTGTTAGAGAGCCACAGGCTAGTGGGAGGGGTCCTTGGAGAGACATCGCCCCCCACCCATCTACCCCCTTGGCCCAGAACCAGCCCACACTTCCATCACAGATGCTCATGCTCACAGCATGCCCCAGCCCCAAGTACCCGATCATTACAGTGTCAGTCCACCGCCTTGGAGAACTCCTTTAAAAACATGTTTTTCTTGCAAACCCTTCTAGGAAGTCATTCTGACAACAAAATACCATGAAGTTTTTATAAGCCCTTGTAACAACAAAACACCACACCAACTAAAACATCCACTAAAAGCATCATGAGGGTTGTTGGCAGCCTCCTCAATGTTCACCCCCTTCCACAGGGGTCTGTCGCCCTGACGCGTGGTCTGAGTAGGAAGGACGAGCACAGGGGGTTCTGGGGCGGGGGTGGGGGGTAGCTTCCCTCAATGGCTTCGCTATGATGCCATTCCCATCACAGTAAGGCCCCAGCTAGTCCGTGACGGCTCTGCCTTCCCTCTGCCTTGGCCCATGGGGACACTATGGAAGGCAGAGCAGAGAGAATAAAAGAAACCAGATCCTGTCGGCGTCGCTGAGCCACTTGGATCAAACCAACCCCGAAGCTCACCCCACCTCCGGACTTTCCAGTTTCAGGAGCCAAAAACCTCCCCTCATTGTATAAACCAGTTTGAACTGGGTTTTCTGTTACCTGCAACTGTAAACATACTCCCCTGAATAGAGCAAGGTTCATTCACTGGCTGGCCGGTCCTGCTGTGGGCAGTGTGACTGTGAAAATGCACCGTGGATGGGTAGGCACTCACGGAGAAAGATCTCTGAGATATACTAAGTAAAGTTAATTGTTGACTACTATGTAAAACATGACCCTCATTTGTGTGAAAAAGATATTTGAATATGCATCCACGTTTTCTGGAAGGATACTTAGTAGCGGTTGCCTCTGGGGAACGGGAAACACGGGAAACGTACTTTTTCACATTATACTAGCGCACGTTTAGATTGCTTATATGTATAAAATGACTAGTCTTAAAGTTGTTTGAGGTGATAAAATTATAGTCCGAGGTGATAATTTACTTTGGTAGTTATTAAACCATGCCTCTGAAGCGCCCACTGAAATATGAGACGCGGGGCATGGGAAGAAGGCGGAAGAAAGAATGGTCTCTGACCTTCCTGAGGAATACTTCATTTCCTCCTCCTCCAAAGCTGGGCTCTCTGAAATCGGTCACTTCACCAGAACAGCATCCACTTGAACGTAGGCTTGGCTTTTTCTTCCTGTCAAAGTCACTCCCCAGTCCTTATTCCACAGCGCCCACGGCAGGTTTTCTGGAAGCATCTGGAGACCCCAACAGCATTCTGAGAATGAACGTACCTTTTTACTGCCGTCTAGAGGAGGCAAAGCCAGGTCTTGCTGGGTCGGCAGAGAGCTAAAACAGCACTAAAGGTATACGGTTCTCTGGATTTTCGGAGTTTCCTGTCGGCCCTGGCAGGCCAGGCAGCAACCTCTTGAGTAACAAACACAAGCTTGTGGACGCATCTTTACCAAGATCCATCACTTGGGACAAGTTACCACAGTTTAGGGGCAGACAACCAAAAAACCCTGTGGCCCATGGACAGACACCATGCATGACCCTAGAGCTGGAAATGCCCACCTGTGAAGGTCATACAGTCATTCTACTCATCTGGTACTGCTAAAGGCACTGCGTCTCTGGGTGGCAGGCCTGAGCACTTGCCGCCTGGGCAGGACTTCCGAGGATGCTGAGTCCTTCCTTGGGTGCTGGGACCACTGCAATAGCCCCTCGCCTTTCTCTGTGCCTCTGCAGTCCGTGCTCTGAGGCTGCTGACCAAGAGCGGTCAGGTGGCCCCTGCTACCGAGACTGAGGCTTTTCCTTCACTGCTGGACCCTCTTCTGGGGAGCTCTCTGCTCAGGGTCCCTAAGATTACAGAGGCCCACACTCAGATGAGTGCCCATTACCACCCTGGTGGCAGTCCCCTACATAGTATCCCCTGGAGAGAAGGCCATGTCCGATTCCTCACCACCCAGTGCAGAAAGACCTCTGTGGGCTTGCTGGGTGGAGGGCAGCTCTGGCCTTGCAGGGAGGTGAGCCTGCTGCCCAAAGCCAGGGCCTCACGGGCAAGGCTGAGCACCGTGATGATCTGAGCGCCTTGAGTAAGGCTGAGAACCATATTCTCCCAAATCCAGGCCCAGAGGCAGGAGTGAGCACTCCCCTGCCTTTTCCAAATGCCTGCTGATCTGCCACAGAGCTCGTTAGCTGGACAATCTTCAGAAAACTGCTTCTCCCCAGGTTTGCCCTTGATGTGGTTTTGCTCAGCAGGAGCCAGGCCTACTTTAATAGGTACAGGTTCTGGGATTGGCTCCCAGAGTTTGAATCTAGATCTTCCTAATCCTCAACAGGAGCTCCCCTTTCTCGGAGTCTCACATTTGGGCATGAAAATGGCTTCCTCTGAGCTGTTCTGGTGACTGAATTTAACTGTTAAGGACCCAGAGCACTTCCTATGTTCCAGGAGGTTCCGTAGCCGATTCATTTTTATTGTTATTCATGTGGGGAAACCTCACATGAATAACCTGTGTGCCCACCTCACAACCTGTGTGCCCAGCTCACAGCCTTGCCCTTCAGGCAGGGGGCACCCCGGAGACGGGTGAGCTGGGCAGTGGCAGGCGTAGCTGGAGGCGTGACAAGGATGGGTGGGTGAGCGCCCGAGACCTGGCGAGCCTGGGCCACGGAGGCAGAAGATAGTTCAGAGTGTTGGGAGCTGCAGAGGCCAACAGGGCTTGGTGAGGGGGTGAGCAGCTTTCAGGCAGGGAGGAGAGGGGTGGGCTGTGGCAGGGCTGGGAACAGAGACCCAGACAAGGAGCCTCCCCGGGAAGGGAAGGAAGGCAGGCGAGGGGGCCGAAGCAAGCTTTTGGAGATGGGGAAAGATGTAATGGTGTGAGTGGGAGAGGACATGGGAGAACAATGATGCAGCCGAGTCCTTCGAGGAGGGGGCAGGAGGGGCGCAGGCAGGATAAGGGGAGAGCCAGACACGTTACAGTGAGCGTATGTGGGGGCAAGGGGGAGACGTGCACAGGTCACACTGGCCTCCACCCGGTCTGGGAGGGCAGGGAGTATGGGGGCTGCGCAGGGAAGGGCCGGGACGGCTGCACTGTGGCTCCAGAGGCGGGTTCACTGGAGACGGCCACACGTGCACCACTTCCGCTGGGCCTCCTCTCTATTCTCCAACCGCTGAGAGTCAGAGGGGATGGCTCCAATGGCCAGAGTTTTGGAAACTAATTGAAAAACAAACTCAACTTCGAAAAAGTCATAGCTAGTCTTCACCCGGAGCTGGGCTGTGAGCTGTCAAGAGTCTTGCAAGGGGTCCGGCCACCCAGTCGAGCTCGAGAGATGGGCCAGCAGGAGCGGTGCAGGAAGCTAAGCTGTTGGGGGTCCACGCACCAGCAGCGCTGGGTCTGGAGCCACCATCTCCCCCAGGGCAGGATGGGTCAGAGGCACACTAACCCTTCACAGATGGGCCAGCAGGTCCAGACACACCCGTGTAGCAGCAGTGCCCAGAGCCCGACCCAGTGTCCCCAAGCTCTCTTGCCTGGATCATACCGCCCAGGGCTGGAGAGAGGTAGCCTAATGCACTTCCTCCCGGCCTGCAGAGTCAAAGCTCTGCCTCGTGCTTCTGGCTGAGCATGACCAAGCCGCAAGCCCGCTTGGTCCAGCTGTAACCTCCACACAAAGGATAACTGAAAGTGGCATGCAGAATCTAAAACAAATCACTTGATGAAAGTTACTCCGGATTGTGCCGACCATGATTGCCATTACCCTCCACTGTCCTGTTGTGTCGAGTCACACACAGTCCCCCTGGTTCCCTTGGCAGCTGAGTTTACCCCTGCAATGCTTAATGCCATCTTGATGTCACTCAAAATAAAAACCACCAGGACAACAGCATTAATATAAAGATATATTCCATAAAAGAGTTTGGCAGTCAAAGAAAAGCATCATACTTCCTGAAAACACAAGCATTCTTCTTCCTCTAGTCTACAGAGAAAATTGTAAAGAAAAAAAAAAAAAACAAGAACAAAAACAAAAATCATAACATCATCAACAAACACCCACCAGTATACACCACACTAGCATGTACACTTCGGCAAGTCAGTGAAGGTAGCACTCAATCCCTGAATGATGAGGACAGAACTGGTACAAGATCCAGAGAAGCGTTAAGAGAGGAGCCCAGCCAAAGACACACAAACCATTCGGTACATAAGACAGACTTCATTTCCAAGAGCAAGCCCCAGGACAGCCCTGCCAGGGAGGGTGGACATGATCACCACAGACATCCTGATTGGGGACAGCGGAGGGGGGTCATCACAAAGGTTAGCCAAAAAAAAGAACCATCCCGAGCTTCTACACAGCTGCAGGCTGGGGTCTCCGGCTCCACACAGGGGCCCGGCCGCAGGTCCGCTCTCCAGGGAGAGGCAAATGCCAGGCCGACCAGCGGCCCTTAGCATGTGGCCTCGACAGGAGCCCTGGTCACAGGTTCCAGGCTGGCCGTCTCCGGCCCTTGCCTTGGGCGGGAGGGGTGTGTGTGTGTGTCAGGATTCAAGTTCCGGGTGGCGGTTTCAGTAGCACCAAGACCAGAAGCCGGCGAGGCCAAGCTGGGGAGGGGAGTGGGTGCATGTGAGCTGGGGGTGCACAGAGGAAGGGGGAGCGCGCGTGTGCACCTGGGCTGTGAGGCATGAAAAGGGGAAGTGATGGGGTTGGTTCTTGAGACACTCAAAGGAACTGAGAGGGATGGTTTCAGTCCCAGACACCGTGTAAGGCTGCTTGGAGGGAATGCCAGAGGAAATGAAGAAACGGTGTGAGAACATTCTTATCCCTATAAATAAACTATTTACACACTTTCAGAGAAGGAGAGCCGACTCAGGAGAACCCTGCCCACGCCCCCCTCCCTCCGTGCCATCGGGCACTCCGCTGTCGAAGCTGGAGGCGGGTCTCGCCCTGGCAGGGGCAGCGGACGGGGCGCTCCGGGGCACCGTCCACACATGGCTCTGGCTTACTTGGACATGGCTGAGGATCCTGCAAACATCCCCCGACTTGTGCAGACACCACAGGCTCTGCTGGCATGGTCCACCTGTGCCCCTTCCCCTCCCCAGGTCCTTCTGCTGCTGGGAGAAGCCTCGTCCGCGTCTGCTGGGCCCCCCCGCCCCCATGTCCCACCCGCAGCAGACGAGGCTGCCCTCCGGGCCAGCACCAGTGACACGAGTGGGGAGGCCAGGGTGCCCTGCAGACACGCTTAGTCTCCAAGAGAACCAAGTCAAGCCCTTTTCACAGCCACGGGAGCCTTCTGTCCCTCAGAGTCACCACCCCCGCTTAAAGACATGTTCTCTGTCTCTAGGTAGACCCCGGGGGGGGGTCTCCGTCCCAAGTCCGTGCAGGTCAGAGGGGCCCCACGGTCTTCAGCACCAGCAAACACAAACAGGGAGGTTGCGGCACGCTGAGGCCGAAGACAGGGTGCTGGCTCTGGCTGGGTGCGTCCACTTCTCTCCCTCTGGATGTCGACTTGACAGGAGTGAAGGGCTCTGGCCTCCATGGCGTGGCTCAGCTCTGCTTGCTCACCTCTGTTCCTCAGAAGTGATGGCCTGCCTTCACCGCCTCAATGTCCGAGATCAAGGTCTTCGCCAGGAAGATGCCAAAAATCTGAAACCAAAGCCAGGACAGGCTGTCAGCGCTGGGGCCCGACGGCGAGGTGCACGGGGAAGCCTGCACTGCACACCAGCCCCGGGCCCGCTCTGCACACTGAGGACGCAGCACACAGAACAACTGGGCCTGTGGCAAAACAAGACCCACCCACCAGGAAAAAGTGAGTCCTGGGGTCTGTTTTGCTAGATCCCTGGGGCCTAGAAGTTTGGGGCACACAGCAGACAGCACAGAAGGCCTGCCTCCGACAGGGCCATGCACGTCACAGACCATGAGCTGGGGCACACTTTGCACCCGAAGTTAAACCAAAAATAACAGAGTCACCTGACTGGTTTCGACGCAAAATAATAAATCTCGATGTTTCCTGTAAACCTGGATTCCACAATAAAAACAAGGTTCTCCCTGATTTTAGCTGTGCTGCTGTCTGACCTTGGTGACCAGCATCGTCATGTGGGAAGACAGTTTTTCTACCAGAAACAGACCAACGTGAACTCGGAAATCTTGGAATTTTATTTCCCCTTTAAATTCTTGTTGTGGTTTGTATTTGATGAGCCAGTCCTTCTGAAGTCTGACTGCTCTGCCCGTTTGGCAAGTAAATTTGTTCTTTCCTTTTCTAGGTGCTTCTGTGTCTAAGCTTCCCTCGGAGATCACTCAACACACATTCGCGGGGTGAAGGAGGAAGGGGTGTGTGGATGGTGAGCAGACCCTGGGCCACGGTCAGGAACCCTCTTCACAGCACCGTGTGGGAGGTGAACGATGCGCTTTCCGCATGGCGGCGGCTGCCGTCCCAGAGGCTGCTTGGGGGCTGCCGGCTTCTCCTCCCAAGCCCTGGGCACCCCGGAGAACTCCTGGTTTCTCGGATTCGCAGAGTTCTTGCCTCCCCTCCTCCTCCCCATTCTCTCAGCCACCAGTCTTCCCACGTGCCATCTGGTTCAAATGAACAGGTGCGACCCACAAGGACAGAGGAAGCCACAAAGGGCAGGGGGAACGAACCTGTAGCAGGGAGATGGCGATGAAGACGCCGGCCACGATGTAAATATTGCGCGGAAGCCAGCCCTCCAGTGCCTGGATGCAGCCTTTTGTGAAGATGGACTCGTCCCACTTGCTCTTCAGCTGCAGGGAAACACCACAGCGACCTGAGCCCAAGGCATGCGGGGCATCCCCACCCCGGCTCCCCAGAGGGTTCCCGCAGCGGGCAGGGTGAGGCTCGGTGGGAGCCAGGGTGCTGGAGGGTAGGTGCCAAGGATGGACAGAACTCTCCAGGAGAACTGCATCCACCTGCCTCGGTCTCCGCCCTCTCCCCTCTCCCCGGGCAGTCTGCATCTTCTACTCTGCCCCAACAAAGGCTCCCTGGTGGTGGTCTTTACCCACTCCCACTGGGCCTCCCCAGACTGAAAGAGGGACACACCCCCAGAGCCCACATCTAAAGGAAAGGAGGGAGGGGCCTCAGGGCTCAAGAAGGAAGATGTGCCTTTAAAGAGAGAAACTAGAAGGGCCTTCAGCATCTTCTAAGTCAGAGAAGTTGGCTGGGGAAGGAGAGGACAGTGGTTTCCCAGATTGTGTCCCCCACCCAGTTAAGCTTGGCTCCAGCAGCCAGGGTCACAGGAACGGTCGTAAGCCCACGGGCTCCTTCCAATCCTGACCCTTAGCGGAGACTCAGTAGGCACACAGGAGGTGCCCTCAGCACACACAGCCCACCTTCACCCACACACAGCCTCGCCCATGGCAACACTGATGGATTAGTAATCCATTTTAGTGGGGTGAGGGGCTGAACTGTGTCCCCCTAAAATTCAGACGTTGAAGTCCTAACCCCAATTCCTCAGAATGTGACTGCATTTGGAGACAGGGTGTTTAAAGAGGTAATATAACCCATAACCCTAACCCTAACGCTAAACTCAATGTTCTGGAGAGATCTCTGAACAGCAGGATACCAGGCACATACCCATACCCTCACCCTAGCCCCTAACCCCTAACCCTAACAATAACCCTAACTCTAAAGTTATCCCTCCACAGAGGTCTCTGAACTGCAGGATAATAGGCACATACCTTCACACTGTCCCCAACCCTAACCCTAACCATTATGCTGGCCCTAAACCGAACCCAAACTCTAGATCTGAGGGAAAAAAAGATGTGTTACATATATACAACGGATTATTACTCAGCCATAAAAAAAGAATAAAATCTTGCCATTTGCACCAACGTGGATGCAGCTAGAGAGTATTATACTAAGCGAAATAAGTCAGAGAAAGAGAAATACCATATGAAAAAAAAGGTAAATAAATTAAAATGAGATTATCAGGGTAGGCTGTAATCCAATATGACTGGTGTCCTTATAAAAAGTGATCAGAGGCGCCTGGGTGGCTCAGTCGGTTAAGTGACTGCCTTTGGCTCAGGTCATCCTGGAGTCCTGGGATCGAGTCCCGCATCGGGCTCCCTGCTCAGTGGGGAGTCTGCTTCTCTCTCTGACCCTCCCTCCTCTCATGGTCTCTCTCTCTCCTTCTCTATCAAATAAATAAATAAAATCTTAAAAAAAAAAAAAGTGATCAGGACACCAAAAGACACAGAGGGAGGACGAGGTGGGCACACACACAGAAAAAGGCAGCCACCTACAAGCCCAAGAGAGAGGCTTCAGACCAACCCTGCCAACACCCTAATGTCAGACTTCTGACCAGAGTTCTGAGGAGAGACGTTTCCGTTGTTTCAGCCACAGTCTGTGCTACTTGGTTATGACAGCCCTAGAATCTAACGCAAGTGGCAACGAGAGGACAATGCTGGTGGAAGCCTGTCCCATGCAACTGACGGAGGTCCCTGCAGAAGGTCTTTGGGCCTCCCAAACCGGAGGCACACATCCCTGATGTCTGTGGTCAACAGGAGGGGTACTCGTGGATTCCCCAAGTTCCCTCCTTCAGAACATCAGTCACTCATACCACCAAAGGCCACCGAGCAGTGCTGGCGGGGAGGGGGACACTCACTTCTCTTCACTCCCACACCCCCTGTGGCCTGAAGAAAGCCCTGGAGGACTGAGCCTTTCTCCCGCCCCAAGACCTGTCTCCCTGCTCATTGTCACCCCCACCTCCATATGGCAGCTAAACCAAGCCACACGCTCCTACAGCTTCATCCTGAACTCCTAGAGAACAGACACCTCCTGGGACTCCAAGGAGCCATTAAAAATACAGCCTTTGTTCCCGAAACTTTCATCTGACCTCTTTCCACTAATGCAGTAACTGCTAGATTTTGTGACTGCAGTTCACAGAGCTGGGAATCACCCCCCTCACTGTTCCCGGGAGTCTTGCCACCAGCGGCTCCTACCCAGCTCGCTCCCAGCTTAGATGGCAGACTCAAGTCTTACCCACTCCAGTTTGCACTTGTGCTAAATCAGGATGCTGGACCACAGGGAATAAACCTGACGAACTCAAAGTTGCATGCATCGGGTGCTCACCTGGGTCCTGACATCATATCCACACTGTGTGTTCACAACTTTTTGCTGTAAGAAAAGCAGGAAAAAATTGGTCATTTTTGATCTCTTGGGGAAGCCAATGGTGGAAGGCTCTAGAAAAGTCCCAACCAAACATCAGCAAACACCTGTACAAATTCCATTATAGCTCACATCCTTTAATCACAATGCCAACTAACCTTTCATACTAGGACAAAGGTTGGCCAGCTGTGTGTGTGAGGGAGACCTGTCTACATAGCAACTATTCAACTCTGCTCTTGGAGCATGAAGGAAGACATGGATGATGCATAAACAAATGCACATGGCCATATTTCAGCAAAACTTCACTTATGGACACTGAAATTTAAATTTCATATAATTTTCACCTATCACAAAATATTATCCTTCCTTTCATTTATTGTCAACCATTTAAAAATGGGTGAAACTGTTCTCGGCTCAAAGATCCTACACAGAGGAGGCTGGATCCGGTCCACGGGTCATAGTTCGCTAGTGTCTGCGCTGGGAGATGCAAGTTCCACTCGCTCAGTATTTCACGGTCACAGTGGGGATCTCAGGCCCTAGCTGTGCGGCCACAGCAAACCCGAGCCTCTCCTGGGCTGGGAGCGGGCCTGCTCAGAGCCCCGGGGCCCAGTACCGCAGCTGTAAAGGGCTCACAGTTCTAGCAAACATTCAGTGCCCCTTCGCAGGTCACCCCAAGAGCCCCGTTTCTGGAACCCAGGGACCCGAGCCATGGGCTGGGAATGAGAACAGGTGAAGAAGAAAGGCGAGAATCCCCCACCACCCCAGACGGTGAGTACCCCCACCGCCCAGGCATTCTCTCCAGAGGACAGTGAAGAGGGCGGCCCAGGGCTCACCATGTTTCTAGCATTTCGTCCAGGCACCCTGCGTGAGAGCCCCTCAAGGGAGGGACACGACTGGTTTTCTCCTGCTTCACCCAGAACACTAGAGCAAGGCCAGATCATGCAAAACCGTTCCTGGGATTTACACACAGAGGGTTTCGGCACTGCAGGAACCGGGCGGTGGTGTGCGGAGGGAGCACAGGGTGGCCCAAAGAGAAGCAGCCCGGCACCTCCACAGTCCGGAACTGCTCCATGAGCCCCGGGGCAAGCCGACTCACCGCGGGGTCCGGCACGCAGCAGGAGAAGGGCACCCCACACTTCTCGCGGCTGTAGCTGGCACCGCTGCAGTTGAAGTAGACGTTGAGGTCCCAGTCTTCAGGCCCATATGCCCCGCAGCACTGGTTCTGGGATCACAAAAGCCCAGAGCTGTCAGGGGCTCCGGCTCTGAGCCAGGGCTCTGACCACCCACAGGGGAGCAGGGACACGAGAGGAAGTGCTGCTCACGTACACACAGAGAAATCAAGGCCCCCCACCGACCTCCTGCATGCACAGAGATGCTGAGCATGGTGACCTGGGTAGCCTTTTAAGAAGGAAACCAGGAAACTCGGCCATGACCCCCACCCCCACCCCCGCCGGGTCCAGCAGGCAGGACTGGCTCCGCAGCGCCCCCTGGCCTCCGCTGGGGCTCGGCACTCTGGTCCAGACCCTCCTCCCCCTGGAGCTTCCCCTTCCTCCCCTCCCCTCAGCCCAGAGCAGATTCCTCACCCTCCTCGGAGGCCACTCAGTACCTCTGATACAGTTCTCTGGTGCCCCCGAGAACCCCGCCTTGTGGGCTGTGAGCGCGGCTCCCTCTCAGAGAAATTTCCAAGCTGGCCTTACTTCCCTTAGGTGCCTCCTTACAAAACACAGCTGCTGGACGTCTAACTCCCAAGGCCAGAATTGTGAGCGGGGTGGGCAGTAACACAATCATAGCTCTGCCCCCCATAACCTGGGGTCTCTGCACCCCCCATTATCTGGTGTAGCTGCAAAGAGAATCGCCATTCATCTAAAACTTGTAAAACAGCCAAACACTGACAACAACACAGTGATGTCAAGGGCACCCCAGAGCAGGAGCAGACTCCGTTTTCACCCTTGTCCTGACTACTAACGTGGCTGTGGCCGTGATCACAACAAACACGTGACCAGGATTCCTGGTTGTCTTCTTTCACTTCTAAGATAAAATCCCATGCCCCTCCTTTACCCTGCCCTGTTCCAGCTGCTTTCATGATTCCCGAGTATTTCGGCGCGAGGAATCTCCACAATTTACCAAGTGCCTCTGGAGAATGTATTTTCAAGGGGAAAGGTGGCACGGAAGGAGAGCGCCCTGGCTTCGAGGCGGGTGTGGGCAGGAGCACCCGGGCGCAGCGGGGCGCTGGGACAACGGGAACCGCCGGCAGGCTCAGTGAGGGGCGGGAGGAAGTGGCAGCGATGGGGCTGTCGCAGACGAGTGCCGGTCACTATTACGACACAGCGTCTCTGGTCACATAAGTGGGTTTGGCCGGATCCCCGACATAAGGGTAAACAAGTTTTCGTGAACATGAGAGCGGACCAGAGTTATTTTTAATGCTTGCTTGCTTATTTTCTTCTCAGAACCCAAGCGTTCCACATGAAGTCCCTGAGGAAGCGAGGTTTTCTGGCAGTGCACAGACGGATCACACGACGGCCTTGCCCCAGCCGGTGGCGGGGAGTGGGCCCCCCCAGGGCGGGGACGGCTGTGGTCCAAGCCTCCAGGTGCAGACGCACACAGGGGAGACGGGGGCCAGATGGAGTCAAAGCCAAGGCCTAGGATGGCTTAGACAGCCCCCTGGGGACATATTCCAGGGAGGTCACATTCCTCCCCATCTGGGGAAGCTTCCTCCAGGCAGCTCTGCCCTCTCGAACAGGAAGGGGAAAAGGTCCCAGGGAGGAAGGGGACAGGAATAGCCTCAGACGGTGAGTCACACGCTGGGGGGAGGAGACGCTCCGCCCCTGGGTACCCACAGTGCCTGGGGACCTGCGGCCACCTGCATGGCTGGGACCGGAGAGATCTGGGCCCAGGGGGAGGGTGGCCGCGGGGGCAGCTAGACCGCCTGCCCCATGCAAGTGGGGGAGGACACACTGTGAACACGCCCACACAGCCAGGCAACCACGAGCGGGCAAAGCTAAACTGACCAGAGGCGGGAGCGGCACCTCCCACGGCCTCCCCGCTACCTGCTGTGCTGAGGAGGGACACCCCGGGTTCCCCGCTAGCCGAGGCTGGAGCAGCGTCCCCGGCCAGGGAAGCCCACTCTCTACCCGGGAGGCCAGCGCCGGCGGTGCTTACGGCTTTCTGAAGGGAGTCAATGAGGTTCTGTAGGTCAATGTCGTCCCGGTAGGATCTGATGTTGCTCTCGAAGAACTCCCGGAACCGGTCCCTCACCCAGTCCTGGAAGAGGAAGGCCAGCACGGCCACGGCCAGCTCCAGGAAGAAGATGAGCACAATGGTACCGCAGAACTGCATGGGGCAAGCATGGGATTGAGAGTCATCAGACCTCCGGCCTCCGGCGGGGCCAAACCTCATCTGACCCGGGATCGGTGCCTGCCACATAGGGTAGGCTCCACACCCGAGAGACCAGTGCCGGAGCCCCCGGGGACCCCATGTTACTGGCTGGCAGCCCCGCCCCATCTGTAAATGCAGATGTGCACCCCCACCCACATCACAGCATCGTTGGTAAGAGATGAGTGAAAGGACGAGAAAGCTCCAAGCCACTGTGTCACCCATTTCCTGTGAGGTAGCCTCCCTCCCCAACAAGCCCCATTCCGGGAATGAACGGCTAACCTACCCCACCAGGCCATCAGCTCCTTTAGGGCAGAGCCTGGGGCCCAGACACAGTATCTGACCACTCTCCTCACACACACAACCATCCAAGTTGCTAGAAATCTACTGTCACCCACACTTTAGGGACAAGGAAACCACTCAGGCATGTCACTTGCTTGAGGTCACGCAGCTCATGCAGGACATCTGAGTCCCTCTGTACGTGTCAAGACCTCTGTAGAAGCACAGCGCCCCTGGCCACCACAGTGGTGGCCTTCTGCAAGGGCCCCCCGCAGCCGCACCCCTCCCATCCGGCAGACGTCCGGCCAGCAGTGAGTGAGTTCTCCTGGCCATTACCACCACTGGTCACCCTGTGCTCTAAGCAGCGAGGCCACGGCAGGCAAAGGTCTCCGAATAAGACAAGGGGAAACACCCACATACACACACAAACATACATACGCACAAGGCCCTCCAAAACGCAACCTCCATTCACACAGAAGGAAGATACTACATATATTTTGAAGAGGAAAAAAAAAATGAGAAAAAAAACAACAACAACACATGTTTTGCTTTTTAAATTAAACCCAGGGAAGAGAAGGCTTAATCTAATAAATTCAACAAATAATATATTGCAAAACACGATTATGTGTTTCCCCCCCCCAGGTGCTATTTAATTTTAACTGAATGCATTTCAGCGTGAATTTGTATCTAAATATAAAACCAAACTCTTCGTAACTGGCAGTTCTGCCAGGAAATTAAGCATTCTGCATTGCACATTCCAGTACATTCACACACCCTGGAGGAGGGAAATGGTTTCCTAACTTTACTGGCAATGTCTTTTGATCTTAGCTAAGAAGGGCAAAGGTGAGGGCGCCTGGGTGGCTCAGTCGTTAAGCGTCTGCCTTCGGCTCAGGTCATGATCCCAGGGTCCTGGGATCGAGTCCCACATCGGGCTCCCTGCTCGGCAGGAAGCCTGCTTCTCCCTCTCCCACTCCCCCTGCTTGTGTTCCCTCTCTCGCTGTCAAATAAATAAATAAATCTTTCTAAAAAAGGTAGAAAGTGCTAGTGCCCTCACAATGCTGTCGTCTAGAAGCATGTTTACCTGACAACCCCATGAGAACTGCATGAAGCCCTGCTCCCCGCTCACTCCGTATACAGACATCAACTGCATCCCCGTTTGTCACCCCAAGCGAGTACTAACAGTCCCTTGGGAAAATCTGAGCCCCAAACTGGAGGGAGAGAGCTTTAAAATCCCTGTTAAGAGTGTACAGGTGTTGGCTGTGAAGTATGTCAGTGTGCAAATGATTCTGAATGGGGCAAAGCGCTCAATAAAACCTTGTTTGTTCTAGCTCTTAGTACTGGTCAAAGCAACCACAGCTTGCCTTCTGTGTATCTGAACCTGCTTGCTAAGCCCAGGTCTTCCAGCAAAGCTGCAATCCTGTCCCTCTGTTCATTCGCCAAAACAAAACAAATACAAAAACTCTTCTGTGCAAAACAATTATCTATGCTTTGCTTCAAAACAACGGGCGGAGGGGGGGTGTGGGGGGGATATAAATTAGAATCGGCTATGAGTTGATAAATGTTGAAGAGAGGTGATGGGAACATGGGGGGGTTGTTAGATCGTCTGATTTTGGTTATTTCTTCCATTTCAAAGAGAAAACTTCTCTGACGAGGTAAGGCTTGGCATACGACTGTATCTGTTTCCAGCGACCCTGGGAGGCAGGCGGCAGGCCTGTGACATCAACATTTCACAGTGAAAACACGAAGACTCCTCGGGATCACTCAGTGTGGGTACGAGTCCAGCCTGGCACCCGGGTGGTTACCCCCCGCTTCTCAGGCCTCACCCCACCCCTGAGCTCCTGGGCAGATGAAGAGAGCAATCACTGCTAGAGACCCGGCAGGGAGGCGCCTGGGTCATTTCCCCAACCAAGCTCTCTTGTGCCTCGGTTTCCTGACTGCTTTTGTCCCTTCCTGTTGGGCCCCAGCGCACACCAACTGAGAAACAGATTCTCGACCACACAGACTTGTCAATCCTGCAGAAGGCCGATGACACAGCAGCACCCTTCAATCAAGCAGACTTGCTACAATTCTGGAATCAGGAGCTCCGCTATTCGAATCTGGGGCGGCCGAGCTGTTATTACTGGGAAAGTTGGGAAAAAGCTTCCCAAGAGCAAAGAATCTGTTCTGAAGAGAATGTGAAGAAATGGAGATTAGCGGGCCCTCAGCCACAGCAGCGGGAAGTTTTGCTCTTGCTGCAAAATTCAGGATGACCTTCAGAGGGCAGGGCACAAGACCAAGCAAGCACAGCCCGGGGGTGGGAGAGAACAACACGTCAGCTAGGTGTCCGAGTGTCCCAAGTGTCAGACTGCCTGCCTAGGCCAAGGGGCCCTCCACCAGACATCTGGCCGGTGGGCAGGGCCTCCTGGTGGGGCCAGGGAGAGGGCAGGGCCGGTCTGGGAAGCCATCCGCTGCGGGGATGAGGCAGCCACACACACCTCCCGTTAGGAGAAGCCCACAGGAACGATGTCCTGCGTTGCCTTATTTCAAGGGAAATGATGAAGTTGCTGGGGACAGGTTGTCCGGGCACAGAAAAAAGACGTGGGGTGAATGACCAACCCACTGAATCCCACCCTGTTTCTCCAGGACAGAAACCCCCCCAAAACTTTGAGATACATCATTGCGAGATGATGCTATAAAATCAAGGGTAAAAAGCTGAGAAGTCTTAGTAAATCTGCCTTGTTTGCAAGGCAAACAAGGCCCAAACAGGGCATGCCGACACCCACAGTTGAAGCGAAATGTGGCATGACGGCCGATCATTCCGTCCCTTCTTCTCCAAGTGTCCCCCACACAGAAGCTGACAAGCAACACTTGCTGAAGGTGCACGACCACGTCCCCTCAGCCACCTGCACAGACACCGTGCCTGCTTCTCCCCGGAACCAGCCCACTGGTTTCACACACATGCTATGTTACCTCCCCTGACGCCCTGACCGTCTCCAGCCAGTGCCTGAGTTTCCTGGTCTTCTTCAAGGCGAGAGTCCTTGAAAGAACCGCGCTGAGTCACGGTCTCCACTGTCTCACATCCCATTGGCTCCTCAGCCAGCCCCAGGTGGGTTTCCATCCACCCCCAGAGCACGCAGCAGCTCTGGTCAGGGTCACCAACAACCTCCACCTCATCAAAGCCAATGCCAATTTTCTGTCCTCATCCTACGTCACCCCCCTGTGGCACAGCTGACTGTCCTCTCTACACGGAAGGCCTCAGAGTCTCCTAGCCTCCCCTCAGCCCACCCACTCACAGCCAACTCTGGAATGGACTTTCCTCTGCAAGGTCACCTCTAGCATCCCAAGACTCCATGGTCACACCTCTCCTCTTCTCAGTCAACACACTCTCCCTCCATGATCTCATCGAGCCTCCCCCCCTTCCCCTGATGCGACTCAGACTTTCATCTCCAAGATGGTCACAGACATAGGAAACGGACACCTCCACGCGGCCAAGAGACCATCTGAACACGTCTGTCCCAAAATTCTCTCTCAGAACATGGTACCACCACCCATCCCTTCACTCGGCAGAATCATTCCAAAATCAGATCCAACTTGTAACCTACCAACAGTTACTAAAAGAGGCAGAGAATAATTCCACCTACTTACTGAGCACTGTAAGGTCCTACATGACCTGGCTCCTTCATTTCTCTGTCCTCACTTGTGTACCCTCCCCCTGTACTCACTGAGCTCCAGCCACAGGGCCTTCTCATTGTCCCTCGCACATGCCGAGCGCATTCTTGCCTCAGGGCCTTTGCAAATGCTGCTCTTCCAGCCTGCAGCTTTCTTCCCAGACCCCCACTGGCTGCTTCTTCACAGGTACTCTGGTCTCAGCCCTTAAGTCGCCTCCTTGGAATGCCTTTCCCCCACCTCCCTAGCCAAGGAGCTTCCCCTCCCTGCTCCGCTGCTCAGGAGGCTAATACCATTACTGGTTAAACACAAGCACCATACGGAATAGGTCCACTCCTCGCTCCCAGAGCGCAGAACAGGGCCCGGCCCACAGTCAGGAGGGCACGAAGCACCCCGCTGCCCATGTGTCGTTGGGAGCATCCCCAGGGCAGGGAAGGGAAAACAGACCTGCGTGTGGGCCAGAGCTCCGAGTGTTCCTGAACCTCCAAGGCTGGGCTAGGGGCCCATTAACCTGGTTTTCCATCACCCTGGCCATCCCTGTCACAGTACTGTTCACAGCCAGTTTTATAATTAACTTGTCGCTGGTTCTGCCTGAGCTGGGCTCTCAGCCCCACCCACCTTCTCCTCCAAGCCTCACAGGGGCCCTGGCCAATCAGCAGTACGTGAACAATCATATCTACTGAATAAAGGACGACGCGAGGGACCCAAGGCCGCTCTCGGTGACTCACCCAGAAGACAATGTTGTAGCTGAAAAGGAGGTACTTGTACCAGCAGCTGACCTCGGCGTTAGAGTATCTATAATAGTGCATCTTCTGAGAAGCGGGATCTGTGGACAGACATGGGAGTGATGAGATGACAGGTTCAGCTGCAGAACAGCGCCCCCAAACCTGCTCCCCCAGAAAGAGCAAAGGCGAGGTTCACACACAGACTCGAGGAGGCTCCAAATCGTTTCCATGTTCCTGCACGAGTCCAGATACTGCTTTACCATCAGTGCCAGCTACAGACTGGGCAAAAATCATGTTAAGTCAACTCTTCAAAAAGAGCCAAAAAAAGAAGAGAATTTCTGAAAGAATGGAGGATGCCAATTTTTATTTATTTTTTTAAACATTTTATTTATTTACTTGTGAGAGAGAGAGAATGAGCAGGGGGAGGGGCAGAGGGAGAGGGAGAAGCAGACTCCTCGCGGAGCAGAGA